AATTGGATTTATTTAAGCAATGTATTTCCTTGTTGGATTTATTAAATGAACCAAAACTATACAAATATAGACAGCTCTCAAGTCTCCCAAGTCTCAGCTTTCAGATAACTTTTGTTTATAATTTAAATATATCTACAGATTAAACTAAGAATAAAAAAATGCAAATGCATTAAGATTAATAATTAATATGTTTTTGAAGTGCACAGTTCTGCTGATCTATTTCACAAACCCCTAGCTTTTGTAGAGCTATATATTCTCTGATTAGCCTCTTGATATTGTGGGAAAGCTTAAGAGGGAGCCTCCGATTTCAGTATTAAGGATTGATAAGTTTTCTTAAGGCCTTTTTATTGAGGTCGGCCTCCTAATGGGTGCATCGAGGTGGCTGTGGAGTCTGACTCTCAGGCCAGCAAAGGTGCTAACTACACTGCGTCCTTTGCCCGCCTTTATCCTCTCTGCTGTTTTATCGCTTAAAGCCATAGAAAAGTTACTCATCATTTATGCACAGCATACAATTTTAAAATATTGAGTATTGTTATATATTTTCTTAGCGTGTTTGTTGAAGCCTTTCGGCTTAGTTTTCATTTCTTGGGAAACTTTGTGAAGTCTTCTAGAGCTGCTGCTGCTGCTGATCACAACACTGGCTCTCCCGAACCAATCAAGGCACTTCAAATTAATTACATTTAAACGCCGCCTCCCACACGCACGCACAAAAAAACAAAATAAAAAAAAAAACAAAGAAGAACCAAACAAAATTAAGATTTCTATATAATTGTGCCATTTTCAGCGTAAAAAGACAAAACATCAACACAAGTTGGGAACGGAAAATAAATGAGGAATAACAACTCCGAGGAGAAGAGAAGTCGAAAAACTCAATTCAAATGAATTTAGTGCCCCTTGACTACCAGAACGAGCGTTCTAATCGCCAACTCATCATCATTAAAGTCAATTTTTTGTTCCCTTCCACAATTGCTTGCCACTAGATTAGACAAAGAGAAATTTGCCACGTTTTTCATTGTTTTCCACACAATAATTCGTTGTTGTTTTCTCATTTCTTGATTGTGATTGTGCAGAGGCCGGCCAGAAAGTGAAAATGCTGCTTCACATTTTCGGCTGAAATTGGTCGTTAGAGCTGAGAGAGGGAGAGACAGAGAGAGAGAGAGAGCGAAATTGCATCATGCTGTGCCTTTTCTTTGGAATCTTTGTGCCCGAAAATTGTTGATTTTGACACCTTTGGCACGGCAGGCCAGGCCCATGGCTCATTGTGTGCCACAACGGCAGCATTTTCTGCTTTATTTCCATCTAATAAATAGTACAACGTTTTCTGTTGTTTTCCCTTGTGTTGCATTTTTTATGGTTTTCATTTGCCGTCTCTGTGTGTGAAAACAAAAACCGAAACAGGCGCTGCGCCTCGCTTGCGAACTTTGTCAGTTGGTGACTCGCTGTTTATCTCCGCAGTGTTTGGACCCAGCAGGGGGCATCATCCATGGCACATCGTCGTCATCCTCATCCACTTCATCATCATCATTACAATCATCATCAAACCGGCAGCTGTTTGGCTGCATCGTAGTATCTTTATTTGCTCATTAACAGCACAATTGTTGCTTGCTTACCGATGTTCTTGTCCTGCGGCGCAGCTCCCCGATAGGTGTGGCGCGATAGGCGTGGGCGTGTGAATTTCCACACTTAAAACTGTTTGCTAATTGTGAGATTTTATTTAAAAATCAACCAACTATCGCCGCACATTTGTTTTTGCCCAATTTTGTTGTGGTTTGCTAATGAACCTGTGGAAATATTTGTGCGGAGATAACAACGAACCCCATTCACTATGAATTCCACAAAACCCAAACAAACAATCTGAGGCACACGTTTTGCACATAAAGCACACTCTGAACTTTCTAACATTTTCGCCAAGTAATCAAGCCCCATTAAGCCCCATAAATATCACTTAATGTTCATTACATTGCGGCTCATTTGAATAGAGCGATCCAGCTACTAATTGCGAGTTGAAAAAGAAATCGTACGAATACGAATAAATTCCTATTCATGTACATTTGTTTATAGATAGGAAAGTAAATTTAAGTAAATGAAGAGCTAATGAAATATTAATAATAAAAAGCTACAAAAATTACGGTTTTATGTATATATATGGCTTGTTTATAAATCAAAAGAGTTAACGCTTTTTCAAAAAGAATAACCCGAAAATGCCATTGAGCTTATAAAGGCATAGGATAGAAATCCGGAAATGCCTTAAACGATAATAAAGTAATTTCGACGTCCACCTCTAATTTTTAATTGACAAATATGTAATACTTATGTATATCTATGTATATATAGGCTGTGAAAAAAAAACACTGCAGAAAGTAAGCTAACCAACAAGCTTTGGACTGCAGTTAAGGAGTGGATGAGTGGAGGGGGACCAAAAAAATGGTTGGTTAATGCAATAACTTGCTTAGTTACTTGAAAATGTTCATGTGTTTGTATAAGAATCAGAATATTTGAAGGGATGTCAGTTAGTTTAGAGTGCTTACCGAAATTTTCCTATTTTTTATTCAGAATCTAACAATATTTATAATATAAGTTTTGTTATTATTTATTCATTTCTAAAATTGCAATAACAAAGGAATAATACTTCCCAGTTTCCAATCTAAAAATGGGAACATAAACCGTGAGTGCCTTGTTCATAGTTTAACAATCGGCAACGTACTTTACACATACATTGTTTATTTACATATTTGTTAATTAGCGCTTATTAAAATTTATTTCAATCAGCACACACGCTGCCTTGAAACGAAACAATTGTGAGTCCAAAAATACAATATTTTCCTATAACAAATAAATGTTGCGAGTTCAGCTGATAACCCCACCAGCACACAGGCCACACTATGAGGAGAGTATAGTGTGAAAAATATTAAAAATTGTGCTGATTACTAATTGCGTGGCACTAGCAATCACAAATTGAAATCTGTACACGTTCTGCCATTGATGGCTTTGCTCTGATTTCGATTTCGATGCCAATTCCGATTCACGAGCTGCGCGGTAATTTCTGTGCAAATTGCCGAAACGAACGCATAAATTTGACAAACTCGACATAAAAATGCAAAGTTTGTCGTGTGCCGAAAAGTTGAGCACGGCGCCAGATCAGAAATTAACATTTAAATTGTAGCGTGCAAATAGTTGTTGCTACTTTCAGTTTATTTATTACCTAAAACTGTCGCAGAAATGGGACAGATACATGATTTATAGATGCAACAAATTTGAAGTGCATTTGATGTGCGGAATTGTTAAGTGGATGAGCACAAGCGATGCTAAAGATTCCCCAGTGGAAAATTCAACGATACATTAAGAAATTATTTTTTTACACTTCTTATATAGGCATAGTTTTGGAGTATAATTTGAATTAAAACTGAAGCGGCTTTAAGTTTCTTTTGGCAGAAATAGAACCATCGATGCACTAAGTGGCATCTCGTGTGGTTCTTTAGCAGCTCTGTCATCTTAAAATATATGACATGGTTATCAACATTTGTCTGCTACTATGTACATACATTTTATAACTACTATATAGCTTAGAAACATTCCCATATAAAAAATCTCAAGCTATTCAAAGAAGAACGAATTGAATTGTTTGTGGGGGAATATATCCATCTATAAAATATTTTAATATTTATTTGGGATAATTTAAATATTTCAAAAGTATTTGATCACATTTTAAGCAAGAAAACAAATGCAATCGAAACGATTAAACCCACTTAAATGGTTAAAAAGAAGGCAATCAAACATTAATGAACAAACAGAGCCTTGGCGTCGGAACTTGAATTGCGTATTATGAGTGAGTTTCCCCCGCGGCATTTTCCCAGCAAACTAGCGAACCAACTACATTTTCATTAAATGCTTGTTTTGGGAAAAATGAAAACGTAAAATTGTTGCCACAAAAACTATGAATGGCAGTTTAAGCCAAATTACACAAAGACAGCGGAAAACAAAAGCAACAAAGAAAGGTTCAGAAAAAACAATAACAACTGTAGCTTCGGAAGCCATATGCAGAAATATACACAGAAACACACACACACATACACAGCTGGAAAAGCAGCGTAAAATGTGGCGAATTAAATTGGAAACGCCTCATGTGTGAGCGGTACAGTTGCAGCAGGCAAGCTCGCTCGCACACTTGCATATTTATCAGATAAAATCCACACAAGAACAGCAAGCAAGCAAATGGCAGAGGCGCGGCTGAGCAAGCGCGATGGTTGATGGTAAGTTTAATGCAAGCAGCCATCTCGCTCGCACTAGCGAAATGAGCTAAGCCAGGGTACCAAATATATCACAAGATACAAGTGACCGGTTTGACGAGTTTCCCGTGGTGGTGGTGCTGCTGCTGGTGGTGGTGTGAGTGAGAGCGAGTGCGAGTGCGCGCGTGTGCTTAAGAGTGTGTGTTTGTGTGTGCGTGTGCGTATGCAGAGAGCGGTGATTTGGAACCAACAGAAAATTCCCACTACGTAGACTTGGTGCCACGCTCGCGCTTCTCTCGATTATTCAGACAGCGACTGTCGTCGAGTGAACACGTACCGAGCGCGTCGATCGCACACACACATACAAAAAAAAAATAAAAGAAAAATTCCGTTTATCGCTAGAAATCGTTGATCAAGTTGAGAAAGTTGTTTGCCCCCGCAAAGTAGAACGCGTGGAAAGCAACCGAGGAAATAAACTCACAAATTCCAACACTAAGTGCAAGTGCAACAAGCAAATAGCTCAGAGTGTAGATCCATAGAAGTGTGACTGTGGCCCAGCAAGTGTGTCTCAAAGACAGCGCACAAATGTCGCGCCAGTGTTAAAGAAAAGTGTTTCCAGCCCGCTTCTTAGCCCCTCACACCTATAAAGAACAAGGATTACTCACAGCAACAATTTTCGAACGCAGACGTCAAACAGAAAAAGCCGCAAACATAGCCGAACTAATCACCGCCTCACCCACGCCGCTGCCAGCACCCAAAACACCGCGCGTATTTATGACTAAAATGATTCCGCCGGTACCCACCTCAGCCGTCATGATGCCCACGCCCAAGCAGAAGATCGGCTTCAGCATCGAATCAATTGTTGGCAACGATGCGGCGGCGGCAGCAGCTGCCACCACCCAGTCGCCGATTTCCGTCGGCAACAACAACCACAGCAGCAGCATGGAAAATGGCCAGCAGGCTCTCAGCCCAGGCGCGTCGGAGCGCAATGGACCCAGCTCCCCACCACAGACCCCACCTGCTGGCATCACAATGCTGGCCGGCGTCACACATTTGCCAGGAGGCTCACCACCGCCACCACCTGCACATCATATGATGGGCTTGCCGCCACATCATGCACACGTTTTGCCGCCCATGCCGCCCCACATGGCACCGCATCTGTCGCCCGCCCAACAGCATGCGCTCCACCAGCATCTGCTCATGCAACAGCAGCATCAGCAGCAACAACAACAACAACAACAACATCAGCAGCTCAACACACCCAAATCGCATCAAGACATACAAGATCTATTGCAGCGTCTGCACCACAATGCCGCCATGGCCAACAGTCTGAGTGTGGGTGCACCCTACAGTCCTCCACAGACACGCCTCTCGCCGGACAGCGATGCGCCGCCCTCGCTGGCCATCAAGCGGGAGCGCTCGCCCGCACCACCCGCCCTCGAGCAGGCCGAGAATCCCGCCCAGCGCATACAGCCGCCGCATACGCCACCCAAGTCCGTTTCGCCACAATCCTCACAGCCCTCCTCATCGCCCACACTGCTGGTCAGCAGTCCGCACAACACACCGCCACAGCAGCACCAACAACAACAACAGCAACTGCAGCAACAACAACAACCACCTTCAGGCTACCCCAAGCCGTCCATGCACGGACCCATCATGGTGCCGGGCATGCCGCCGAGTGGACTGGTTCGTCCCTTCCCCGTGGGCCCGGTCGCCGGTCCACCGCCGCCACCCAATGTCCAGCCCGGCCTACCCGACATCAAGGCGCTACCGCCGTACATCAATGCACCACCGGAACTGGGACCCGCCCACAATCCACATCTGATTGCCGCCGCCCAGTTTCAAATGGCAGCCGCATTGCAGGCCGGTCATGTTTTGGGCCCAGCCGCTGCAGCGGCTGCTGCCGCCGGCTTGCCACCACATGCCGCACAATTCATGCCACAGCCGGGCATGCCACGTGACAGCTATCCGCTCTATCCCTGGCTGCTCAGTCGCCATGGACGCATCTTTCCGCACCGCTTCCCAGGCAGTAAGTATCTCAATCAATACAGTTAATTGGCTCAAGAACTTTACTAAATGGCCGTTCAAGTGGTTTCAATGCATCCCACCACAAAAGTGTTATCCACAGTTTCACTAATTGCCTCTTCCGCTCTGTTCTCTGCCTCATTTCAGACTTCCTGCTACAACCCTTCCGCAAGCCGAAGCGCATACGCACCGCCTTCTCGCCCTCGCAGCTGTTGAAACTCGAACACGCATTCGAGAGCAATCAATATGTGGTTGGCGCCGAACGCAAGGCTCTGGCTCAATCACTGAATCTGTCGGAGACGCAGGTGAAAGTTTGGTTCCAGAATCGTCGCACCAAGCACAAGCGCATGCAGCAGGAGGACGAGAAGGGGGGCGGCGGCTCCTCCGAACGCAACTCGCACAACGCCAGCGGCGATGAGGATGACGACGAGCTCATCGACATGGAGATGGATGACTGCCCCAGCGATGACGAGCATGAGCTTGATGCCAGTCATTAAGCTGCCACTGTCCTCATCCTCGTCCTCATCCTGCTGCTTCCCTTCTCCACTGTAAATACCTCGCTGCATGTGTGCTCGTCTGCTTGTGTGTGTGTGTGTGTGTGTGTGTGAATGTATCTGCAAAAGCAACTTTGCGTCGCTCTTGGCTAAAACGTATCTGTGAGTTCCTTACTGAAGAAGCGTCAAAATTGCTTTGCTTTGCATCCGTTCGAATCTCCAAAGTGTGTGTGTGTTTTAACATAGTTTTTTGTGATATATTCTTAAAAAAGTAATCGGAACGCAAACAGTAATGGCCAGCCCTAGACTAGGTGTATATAGAAAATAACTCATCAGCCCTCATTAAAGTATTAAACAATTTTATAACGCGTCGCAGCAAAAACGAATTCGAAATCTAAACTGTGCCAAAAAAACAAAGCGCTTCCTTTGCTGCTGCTTTTAAATTTTTGCCAACCCTTTTTTCCACAAGACCAGAGCCAAAATTGAGTTGAGCTCAACGTAGATATCGAGCGTATTTTGTTCCAGCCACCAACTTCAACTTCAATTGTACAAATTAAATTGTAAACACTTCTTGAATTGTAAATAGGAAAACATTTAAGTATAATTAGTGAATTTTCTTGCGTATGTAAAATAGCATTTATTTATGTTTAATTCTAAGCACGAATTTCTAGCATTAGCATTAGTTTCTCCCAAGATTCTTTATTTAACGAACAAACTTTACTACAGTGTTGAAACTGAAAGGTTGACCTAGCTTTAGTGCCCCTAGTTCGTAAACTTAAACTTAATATTAATGTGTAAGGAGAAACATACAGAAAATATTATTATATAAAATATAAAATATTCTTATTGAAAACATAAAAACGGTGTTTGGTTTGTTCATGGAATTGGGGGAAAAGTTTCAACTTACAATACGGGTTGAATACTTAAAATTTAAAAGCCAACAACAGGAAAATGTTTAACTTCTGTTGTCAAATATTGTATACGTCGAAAACAATTTGGATTCAATGACAAAAGCATATGGTATTTGTCTCCAATCAAACTCAAATCTCCATAATCAATCATTTATTTAGGCATAAATTCTTATCATTTCTGATTCTGTTTTAAAATACTTTTTCTTTCTTTTACTTTATGTTGGAAAGAATTTGGAATTTTTTGCCCAATCAAAATCTTAATAATTGCACACTGGACAACAAGTCATCGTGTTTTTTGAACTACTTAAAACATGAAACACTGCTATAATCAATTAATTACATCACTCTATAAAACTCATTCCTTAACAATATTTTCAAATATCTATTCTGTTGAAGAAATTTCTGAACAGGGGGGTGGACCAAAGGAATTGACCTGAGAACAAGTTAGTAGTAAATAGTCATAGTAGTCGGGTGTCCCGACTTTGAAAAACGCTGTACATAATTGTATAAAATAAAAAAAATGAAGAAAATTAAAAAAAAACAAGTAATAATTATTGTATGTAGTTATGTATGTTCTTAACTAGTTCTTATTTATTATTATTATTAGTTCTACTACTGAACTTAACTAGTTATTGTATGTACATATAAAAAAGTTAGATGTTCTTAAAACACTATCTATTCCGCTACACCAAATATAAAACAAAATATAGATTTAGAGCAGGGCTATATGTGACTATATTGATTATACAAGTATACCAATGTAATAGGTTTCCCCATCACACACAAATTTAAAAATTTAGTTTATTTCATTTTTTTTTTCTTGATGTAGTCATAACCACATATAACAAAGTATGGGTACAGGGTATTTCATTGTCCGATCGAGTATATCTTGTTTCATAATAAATTAATTCCTTTACACAAAATTATAAAGTTAAATGGGTTGCGGTTTGTTATTTCTATACATTCTAGTGAACTTTATAAACTTCAGGTTTTTACGTTGAATGCGAAATATCAAAACGAATTCAGCGATTTGTATTTATTTGTTAAAGCGATTTCGCGTTAAATTTTTTTAATTGAGAAGCTTATCCATAATAGCTAATCCATAATAGATATTACAAATTAAACTGTCCGTAAAGCAAATTAAATTCGTTTTCGGCGTTTGCGAGCTTCTTTTCATTATTTTTCCCACATTTCAACTCTTTAAAGCTAAGCTTCTACTATTATTGAAGCGATAATTCGACTTCATAAATACAAACAAATATTGTTCTATTTCGAAAATTAAATAACAATTCTTCAATAATTGGTTTGAATAACTATTTTTTAAACAATATCAGTGAATTATTAATAATATACCTTTAAAGGAAACAATATTTTGTAAAAAAGATCATTTTAAATATTTACTTTTTGACAAGCTCTGACCTTTAAATTGGTGAGCCCTCTTACATTTTATTAGATTCATATTTAGTGCTAGTGTTTTTAACTCGAGAGTATCTTCTCTTTATTAGTTTTCCCAATTCTTCAAAACAACCTTTTCAGTCTTTTGAAGCAGCTCCATTGTCAGCATATGTACTAGATATCTTTTAAATATTTGTAGAGTTACAAATCAGGAATATATGTAAAATGTATAAAAACCCATAAAGAATTTTTACCTCACCTTTCTTTACTTTTGACGCATGAGAAACTGGTAAGCGTCGTTGTCCGCCTTAAGGAAACTTTAATACGCTTTTATAAGTTAGCTCATCTATTCTAGATTCTCCATTCTTTAAACTTTTCTTTTGTTTCTATTATCATACAATATATTAAAAATATTGTATTTTAAAAGAAAAACGTGTTCATATTATAATTATAATAATTTTGCCCATATTTTAACCCTCTCTCTCCTTCTTTCTCTCTCTCCCTCTATCTTTCTCTTACCTTTAACTCTTGAGCCATTGCATGTGGCACACGGAAAGGTCTGACCACTTAACCCGTTGAGCTTTGTCGTTCTCCAAACCCGAGCCCCTCCAGGCAGGCCACCAATCGTTGTCCCATCAGCAGCGCAAAATTATGCATTTCCAATTAATTAACGTGTGACATTTGGCATTACCGTGTTGTGCGATGTGTGAGTGTGTTGGTTAAGGAGGCTATAAAATGCATTTAGCGATTTTTATAGATTTCATAAGCATTTTAATTGCACAATTTAAAATGCAAATCGTGTTTTATTGTGGATTTTAATTGAGCGCAAGTCGTGTGAGATCAAAAAACAGCAGCAGCAGCCGCAGTAATAGCGTTGGGGGCGCATTGAGCACAAAATATAGCGAAACACACACATGCAGAGACTTACATATATACCTAAGTATATATATGTATATAGTATTCGTACATTTACATTTGTGAATTGTGTGCATTTATGCTTGTTGGTTGTTGGTTGTTGTGGAAACTGGTTTCGAAATCAAATGAGATTGCGGCACTTTTGCGCGAGGTGTGCTAATGATTTAAAAACGAAATTTATTATTATTGGCGCACAATTTATGCGACAGATATAGACAGATACAGACAGGGGCAGCTGCTCGCTGCTCGCCTCAGCTCAGCTCGGAATATTTCAATGCAAATTACATACCCGTACGAATGAAGTCAGCTGCATTATTTGCCACATCGAAACAATTTCATATAAAGCGCAAACAAGGCACTTGATATGGCTAATTAACAGCCGTATTCATTCAACTAATTAGTAGCTGTTAACAGCACTAAATTGTGCGAGTTTGTCAAAGGTTCTGATTTGGGGGCGTCTGGCCTATCATTTGATTAAATAAGAGGCGACCGCATACGTTTAATAACAGACCCGGCCCCTCAACTAAACCCCAACTAAGGCCAATTTGCAAGCGAGCACTTAAGGCCCCAATCACCAACAAAGTCACAGCACCACCAACAACAACAACAACAACAACAAAAACAATGAGGCATAAATCAAGCCGCACAGCACCGCACACGCCCCAACAAATTACATGGTAGGTGAATGATATACATACCGATATATGGCTCTACGTAAGTATATGCCTATATGGTATTTATATGGATATATGCGCGTCCAAAGATTTCAATCACATTTAGCTCTAAACAAACACCAAATTAAAGCGTTTTAGCCCGGCTCTCTGGGCCAGTGTTTGTTTAGCACGCACATTTGCTCCACAACGCTGTCTCCAGTTCAAGACAAATGAACTCTACGTGCGTTTTCTGACCATGATGATGATGATGGCCCATACAGGCGGACCTCGCTGCGAATGGATAGGACGCTTACAACGAGAGGGAAAGTCGCTCGAAAGTCTATTGTTGAAAATGAACAAGCTCGTGTTTTTATACTACTATATGAACAGCCAGATGAGACGAACACAAATATCGAAAATTGCGAGCTATCGTTTTGAAACTCGGCACCGATCTTCTTCTTGACGGACTGGGATAATATATCCATAGCAAACAATTCATACTAAACATTTTTTTTCTTTAAATTATAACAATTGGTGCGATTGGGAATAGTGTCGAATTTTAATGTTTGGTATTCGAAACCTTTCGTCGTTCGTTTTAATGTTTATTTTCTGATCAGGTTTCCACTAAAATATTGCAAATTTTCGTAGAGAAATATAAAAATAGTCTAACAGCTTCCGATTTCCACATTCTACGATTGCATTAGAGCAAGAAACGTTTTTTTTTTTTGTTTGGAAATATAAAGCTTAAGTACTTTGGTACTTTGCTTCGGTACTTCGGCTTATAGTAAATAGTTTCTTGGGTTTCTTTTCCAATAAATGCTTATTTTACAGAAATTAGAGTAAAAAGTATCAATTCGTGAAACTTTAGCAATATTAGAATGGAATTTTAGAATAAATAATGAAGTACAAATAAAATGATAAAATATATTAACTGGTGGACTTTCATAATGCAATGAAGAAATGCATTAATATTTCTTAATAGTATTTCTTAATCTATATCGCCATATAATGCGACTTATTAATAATAATAAGAAAAACAAGTAAAAAAGCTAAAGTCGGGTGTCCCGACTTTGAAATACTCTGTACATATGTTTACAATAATTATAGAAAATAAAAAAATTAAGAAAAT